AAAAGTAGCTAGAATGAATTTTAAGTCAAGGAATACAGTAAATGGGAGGATGTTATGTAAGTGGCGTCTTGAGCGAAGTTGATCTGTGTTGGCGCGATGCCCGTCCTTGATGTGTCCGCTCCAGTGCGAGCACTCGCTAAGCGTTTAGCTTCTAATGATGGCGTAGTACGTCTTAGGGCTGTAAAAAGAGCTAAATTCATCCTATCTTCGGATATAAAATCGGCCTGTAATTTTGTTTCTATCCTTGATAGCTTAGCATTAACCGATGGTGACATGAAAGGCATATGCAAAGGGCTTTTTTATTCCCTCTGGATGCAGGATAAATTACTTTTGCAAGTAACTATATTCGTCTTTAACTGATCCAGGAAGATGTCGTCAATAGAATTTGCGGTATTTTTCCGAGGATAAATAATCAAGCTATCCGTGAAGCCTTTCTGGCGTGCATGCTTGAGACACTTTCTCGTGAATGGGAAAGGATAGACAACTGGCGTATTGATAAGTTTATGATGGTAGGAAATTGTTTTATCACCGTCAGCTTGCACGTAAATTATATCTAAAGGCTTCTACCAGCTGCCCGAGCAAGAAGGTAGATGCTCTGAATCACCTCCACGATGCACTGTTCTGCAAAGTTCTCAATGAGAACATTCGCGAAGCGGCTGGCTTAAAAATTCACATGATCACAGTGCTTAGTGAAGAATTTCCTAAGCTTAGACTGCCAACAGAATGTCTGCTACATTTATTCGAAAAGTCTATTCACCTTTTCATTCAGTTGCCTAGGTATGTTTGTTATGCTTAATACTTCAGATCTATTGCCTACACCTGTTTAGTTCTTTCGCTCGTAAATGGCTTGCTCTCTCTGATGAAACGCCATGACACTGTGAGTGTATTATTTTGTAATGTGCATAGATACCTTTTTCGATAATGGGGCAATCGCTGTTCAATTCTGCTTCTGGCTCTGAGACACACAGGAAGGCTTTATTTCGAATCTCCAAGACGTATGTTTCATTTTGATTTTATTAGCCAGACTTATTTCCTTTGGTAGAATAAAGTAC